GCAGCCTACGCCGTCACCAGCGACTCACGGCAGCCCAGCTCCAGGTTGAGCTGTTGTTCAGCATCTTAGCTGTAGAGGGCAGTGTCACTGGCCCTGATATGTGGGATCCGAACCGGGGCCCTCTGGTGTCCCAAGCCAGCTCTTAATCAACTGAGTCACTCGGCTGGCCCCCAAGCCAACTCTTAACCAACGCGCCACTCGGCCGGCCCTTAGATTACTTTCTTTACTAAATATTAGCCTAACTAATGTGGTCTACTCTCCACACCAGATCCAGGCTGACTTCCTTCAACTCTACGTCTCTCTCCCCTGCTGTGTGCCACTACTGCTCTCTCCCCAGGGTCTTTGACCTAAAGCAGGATTCTTCAATTTACTTGACTTCCTCGTGTTTCAGTTTCCTCCTATGTAAGTTTTTTTGTGAGGCTTGTCTATTTCACTGTACTTGAAGGGCTTAAATGCACATGGGCCAGCATCAATAAATGTTGTTATATGATTACCATTATTGAACAGGATAGGCTCTTTGTGCATACCCAGTGCCCAGAACCATGCCCGGTTAAACAGTAGGAAGTCCGTAAATACCCTTTGTGGAGAATGAAAAGAACAACCTGGCTCATGTCCCCTGGTCGTTTAACTAAATGTGTTTATAAACAGTGGAGCTCAGCTAGCATGAATGGAAACGCTTTCATAAAATTGTGCGACCTATTGCCGTCTCCCACTATATTTGCTTTCCTCACTCCAATACCAGTGGTTCTCGAACGTCATTGGGTATCAGAATCACCTGGGCACTTGGTAAAAAATACAGGGGCCCGAGCTCTCCCTACTTGGGAGTCAGAGCTCCTGCAGAACTAACCTCGAACTCAGAGGCCCAAGCTCATTGACATGGGAGGCTCCTGGGCCTGTGTTCCAGATGAGCTCAGCAGCAGGATTGGGATAGGCACTCCAGTTTGAGAGCCACCACCCTGCATCACCCCACCTCACAGGGTGAGGTTCTGTGGGGAGTACGCCTGCCCACTGGCCTCCATCTCCATCCTCCAGGGCCCTGCCATCACCTCACCTGCCTCCTCCACTGGATGGGCTCAATAGCAGAATATATTACACATGATATATAAACTTTATTTGCTTCCAGGTATATGCCAACTGTGCCAACATCATTCTGAAAAGCAAGCATCTTTTTCCTACTCATTTGTAGCTCCCCCTCTTTCATTTATATTACTGTGTTTTTCGTGTCCTCTGTTTGGTTCCACTGACCTTGTCTTAAGCCAGCACCGTATCGTTTGCATGATGGTCGTTTTAGACCGCATTTTATTATCAAGCAGGGCAAGCCACCCTTCACCTTTTATGCAAATCCCCCTGTCCTCTTTGGTGTCAAACCATATCTGACCTCACTGAGGCCAAGTTATGTGAATACCAAAAGTCCTGTTTCTCTTTCACACCAGCCTTAAGTGAGCAGCCCAGCCCCCAGACCTATCGAGAGCTGAAAAGATCTCTGGATATGACAGAAGCCAGCCCTGGCGAATTCTCAGTCTGCTTCACAAAACTCCAGCAGAATTTTTTTAAGAACCATCCCAGAAAACTGAAGGATTTGATCCTCTTGGTAAAACACTGGTATCAACAGGTAAATTTCAAATTGTCTGTCTCTGGCTATCATCCATTTCCTTTTTATCAAGATAACTTACATCCAGTAAAGTATGACAATCTTAAGTACTATACAGCTCAATGCATTTTTGTATATTATTAAGCAACACCCAGATCAAAATAGGGCACATTTCCTGGATCCCAGCCGGCTGCCTCCAGCCCACTCCCAGTTAACACTCACCCAAATGACCCACTATCCTAAAAGCTGTCACCACAGGTTCACTTAGCTCATTTTCAAACTTGATACAAATGGAATCATACTGGACTCTGTGTCCGCCATCTTTGGCTCAACATTATGTCTGAGAGATTTGTCCACATTGGTGCATGTGGTTGTAGCTGTCATTGTTTTGTAGTATTCCACTGTATTACTATACCACACATTTATCCATTCTTCTGATGGACATTCGGGTCGTTTCCAAATTAGGGTGATTATGAATTGAGTCAGTATGGATATTTCTCCACAGGGGTTTCTGTGAATTTAAGCATTCCTTTCTCTTGGGTAAACATGCAGGAGTGGAACTGCTGGGTTATAAGGTATGCATACCTGAAAACATACATCTGTGTGTATACACATGTGCATGACATATGTGTACATAAAGATGACTATATACATATTTAACTTTAGTAAATACTGCCAAATACAGACGATCCCTGACTGATTCGAGGTAAGATTTTTTTTTTTTTTACTTTACAATGGTGTGAAAGTGATATGAATTCCGTAGAAACTGTCCTTTGAAGTTGGATCTTTTCCTGGGCTAGCGATACGGGGTACCATCCTCTCTCGTGATGCTGGACAGCAGCAGCGAGCCCAGTCAGCCCCGTGAGCACAAAATTCAACAACCGATATGCTACAGCGTACTATGTGGCCGGCCCTTTTTTGGATACTGTGTTTTGTGGGTTTGCATCCCATCATGTCTACAAAACGCCCATGTGTGTCTCCAACTTCTGGTGAGAAGACGAGGAAGGCAATGACTCTTGAGATGAAACTCAACATAAATGCCCACCCATGCACGAATGTACGTGTTCTGAGCACGTGTAAGTGGGCTAGGTTAAGCTAGGATGTTCGGTAGGTTAGGTGTTTTTAAAAGCATTTTTGACTTAAGATACTTTCAAACTCATGATGGGCTTATTGGGAGGTAAGTCAATCAGCATTTGTAGTGTTCCCAAATGTTCGTACCAAATTACACTCCCATCAGCAATGTATGACGCTTTCAGGGGTGCCACAGCCTTGTCAATGCTTGACAGTGTCAGTCCATCGAATGTTAGGCTTGGTGTCATTGCAGTCACTGCTGGGGGGCAGGGGCTTCCTAGGGACATCTGGTTTCTTGATTGCAGACCCCCGGCATGGGAGGAATGGGGTCCCCAAATTAGCCGCTGCCCCTTTCTTCTCCCACAGTGTCAGCAAAAGCTGATGGCTCCACTTCTACCACCCTCGTATGCTCTGGAGCTGCTCACAGTCTACGCCTGGGAGCAGGGGTGCGGAGCAGAAGACTTTGAGATAGCCGAAGGCCTCAGAACGGTTCTGGGGCTCATCAAAAAGCAGGCGCATCTGCGTGTCTACTGGACAGTCAACTACAACTTTGAGGATGAGACCGTCCGGAACATTGTGCTGAGCCAGATCCGATCCCCCAGGTACCCAGCACCCCGTGGCCCTCTCTACCTCTTCACTTGCATGCCAAACTGTACCCCCTGGAAGCCAGGTCTCAGCCCTATCCTTTCCCAGCCAAGCAGTCTCCAAAAGAAGGTCAGCAGCAGTGGGTAGTGAGGGGAACACAGGTCTGTCTGAGGAAGAGAAACCCCAGCAATGCTTTTACACATCCCAAACCATTGTCACATTTTTGTCCCCAGAACAAACCATTGAGAGGTGCTTTCCGTTCTAGAAAGGAAGGGGATAAGAGGAAGGAAAGGTCAGCAAGAAGAGACCATTTTATTATATTATGAATGGAACACCTCCGTCAAGCAGAGGACATAGGACCAGAGAGGCTGGACATCTTAGACAAAGTGCCTCAGCAATTGAGAGGCACCATAGGAGTTAAAATCCAGGTTAACCGATGCCCAGTCTAGGTCTTTTCCCCCAAAACTGATTTCTCCTCCCACAAGCAACCCAACTGATTTTTTTTTTTTTGGTAATCTAGTAGATTTCCTAGGCCAGTAATCTTGGATCCAACTGACCCAACCAATAATGTGAGCAAAGATATCACATGCTGGGAACTGCTGAAAGAAGAAGCTGAAAGCTGGTTGTTCTGCCTGAATGAGCCACCCGGACCATCTTGGAATGTTCTGGTGAGAGGGCTTTCCCAATATAGCTGGCGTCATGCTGCGGGGAGGGCCCTCCTGACATCTAGGCTGCAGTCTTACCCAGATCACCATGTGTCGATGTCCTAGGGGGCTGTCACAAAGTCCCATGCACTGGGGGGCTTAAAGCAACAGCAATGTATTCTGTCACAGTTCTGGGGGCTAGAAGTCCAAGATCAAGGTGTGGGCAGGGCCGCGCTCCCTCTGAAGGCTCCAGGGGAGGATGCTTCCCGCCTCTTCCAGGTCCTGGGGGTTGCCAGCAATCCTTGGCTTATGGCAGCATCACTCCAACCTCTGCCTCCGTTGTCTCATGACCTTCTCGTGTGTGTCTTCACTGTGTCTTCTCTGCATTAATGTCTAGCACTGCGTCTCTGTCCTCTTTTTATAAGGACACCAGGCATTGAATGAAGGCCAGTATAACCTTATCTAAACTTGGTAACGTCTGCAATGCCCCTATTTCCAAATAAGGTCACCTTCACAGGGGTCTGGGTTAGGACTAGAACGTATCTTTTTAGGGGGACACAATTCAATCCATCACACACCATTGGGGGCCTCCACTAAAAATGATGGCAAAGCACAAAACTGAACAAAGAGCAAAGGGGTGGGGGGATTTCAATGAATTTCTACGAGAGAAAGCAGGTGGGAAGGTGATGACAGGTGAACTGGAGCAGAGCCCAAGGGAAGTGGGTGGCAGTCACCCCTGCAGATGCCAAGACAGGCTCTGAGCTCCATTCAAGCGGGTGTATAGGGGAAGAAGAAGAGAGGCTGGAAACAGGACTAGTCTTGGGGCCAGCTGTGCACCAGAGGCACTGGCTCTCCCCTCTCATCCGAAACACGAGAAGCGAATCTGTGAACACTCTCGGAGCTTATCAGAGAAGGGCAACCCAATGAAACATGCTCAGGTTAGATCACTGAATCCATTCAGTGTTCCTGGGGGGGCGGTCACCGGGCAGGGGTGGGGTAGGGACACAAATGCATCACTGAGGCCAGATAGGTCAACTAAACTCCACATTTCACAGATGTGGGATGAATTTACATCCAAATCATGGGAGGCAGGATCTACATCTCATATGCACAGAAACTCGAGGGTCAATGTAAATGGACTTAACCAAATTCATGGGGCCCTGGAAGTAACGGAACAGGAAATTCCCTAACTGAATTCAGAAGGATTTTGACGCTCTGACAAGTGGTCGCTGTGCCCCCAGCCCTCACCCCCACTTTCCCTGGTCTTTGCTCCCTGACGCCAATTTTCCCAGTGTCCTAAGACAGCTTTTTAAAAAATATATTTCCCCCCAACAATTTATTCTGAAAACATTCAAATGTATAGAAAAGCTACAATAATGGTCAATGAACTCCTGTGTGCCCTTCACCTAGAACCCCAAACATTTAACATTGCCCACATTTTGTGTGACTGTGTGTGTGTGTGTGTGTGCACACAAGTATCATCATCATTATTATCATTATTATTATTAGTCGTTGTTGTTGGTACTGAGCTCTTTAAGAGCCGGCGGCCAGACAACTCTTATCTTTTACCCCTAAATGTTTTCATGGGCATTTCTGAGAACAAGGACATTCTCTCAGATAACCATGTGCAGTGGTCAAATTCCAGAGGTTCAGGTTAACATACAGCAGGTTCTCAAATAACATCATTCTGTCATAATATTGCTGAGATGCCTGGGGACTTAGCTCTTGTTTATATCAATTAGCCTGTGGGAATACTGGTTTCTCTGTGCCTTGTTTCACTTAAAGGCGCAGAACCTATCAATGGCGTGACGTGAGCACTTGCTGTATGACTATTGTCTGATAAGGTCCATTTTCAGGTTTTGTCAATCATCCTGAGGATGTCGGTTACAGCCATTTTTTTTTCCCCCAGCCCAGGAGCACACATTGCATTCAGTGCTCATGTGTCTCCTAACCTTTCCTGTGATACCTGCTTTTGCCCGTTTTGGTTCGTTACCCCCTTCGACCTCTGTTTCCAAAATTCTGAGACCATCTCTCTCACTAGAGCTGTTGGAGGCGATCCAGGCCCAGGAACCACTGCATAAGGAAGTCCAGGCACTGAAGAGCGCACTTGTGCCCCCCCACACACGCACACACGCATGCACACGCATGCACACACACACATATGCATACACACACACACCACAATATTCTGCCCTTTGGAAGAGAGGCAGTACTGGTAATGAATTTGCCTTCGAGGGGACACTGTTCTCAGCAATTATGAGGCCCACTTATATGAGGTCGGGGCAACCAAGATTGACCTTCAACTTCAAGCTGAAGTTGGCCCAAGCTGGCCCGTCTTGTCTGTGCTCACCAGCAAAAGGACGACATCTAACAGAGCAGTGTATTCATTTCCAGAGAGAGAGAGAGAGGGAGAGAGAGAGAGAGAGAGAGAGAGAGAGAGAGAGAGAGAGAGAGAGAGAATCTCAGTGGCGAAGTATCAGTACATACCTCGAAGAAAAAGAGCAG